TGTGGTGTATGTCCATCTCAATAAATCTCACTGGACCAAGTTAGATCCGTGTGCCCTCCGCTGTGTCTTTGTGGGTTTTGCACCTGTTTGGGCCTAATTTGGCACGCCCAGCCCAAAACCCAGAATGGATCCACAGAGTCCGAATAGTCTGGGCTTTGCAGAAGAGATCAAAGACCCAAAACAAAGAAGGCCCAGCTCAGGACATGTCTGAAACATAAAAAGACTTGGGTCTCGAAAGACACAGAGAAAGGAAAGAAAAGAAGCAGCCCATGGTTCAAAACTCGAAATTGGGCCTGCCATGATTAAAAGAGAAAGCCTAAAAAAAAAAAGAGGAGCAGACCCACGTGATTTTTCTCTGACCTTGAAAAGTCAACAAATGCAACTGTCATAGAGGAAGTGACTGGGGAATTAAATGAACGCAGGTCATTTAGCAAAATTTTCCCTGCAGATCTAAAAGCCATTAAAAGATCAAAATCCTTTTTTATATTCAGAGAAAAACCTGCTCCAAAGGAAGGCACTATTTTTAAAGAAAGATAGACATGCTATGATTCTCAGCAAAAGTTGAAAAAGAAAACAGAGAGTTGTTCAAACTGGGAAATCAAACTAACCATCATGGTTTTTTAGCTCTCACAAAGGGGCAGTTAAAATAAGAAGAAAAGACTAAGTTCTCTTTCAAGAAAAATAGGGAAGTGATAGCCTATTGAGGACCTATCTACTAAAGACTGATGAAATCCCTTTTTCCTTTCCATTTTTTAGAGGAAAGATCTTTTAAAAATCTGCCGCCCATTATTAAAAGAACTACCCTACTCCAGATAACATTTCTTATAAATACAAGAAGGAATGAAAAAGACAAAGGACAATCAATCCAACACTCAAGTCATCCATCAAACAAACAACTCAAAATCAACCAGAAGCTCACTTGAATTCCAAGTGAAAACCAGCTTTAGATCAGAATTCCCAAGGTTCAGAATTAGAAAATAAGTCATTCAAAACGAGATTTCTCTCGTTACAAATTTGGTTCAGCAAAAAATCAAGATAGGTAGAGCTTGAGCTTTTCCCAAACATGAAAACCTCAACAAATTTTACAGTGCAGTCTCTAGCCCACTGAAGTCCTCGAGAACAGCCACTTCTGCCCTTACAGACTGAACTTGGATATTTATGTTTATAGTTTTGTAAAAGGCAGTTCTGCCTAAGACAGCTTAAATTCCATCAACCATTCTGGCTAGAACAACCTCTTTATATTGAGATAAATTGTTAAAGTCCTCACCAGTCTGAGGCAAGACAAGAACTTACTTGGGAGATATTCCTCACCCAAATTCACAATCACTTGTTTATGGAAATCAATAATTTGGGGCGCAAGTTATCTATTCTAGAATAAGTCTGTTAGAATCTTCATTGCTGGCAGTGGCACGCTCATACACCAAAGAAAGATAACTTGTTGACCAGTTAATGATTTTCAAGGCAGTGGGGAAGTTTGCCATTCCACTACAGGAGTGATCATAAAACGGGTGAACAACACTTCAACAAAAGAGTTACCGATGTTACCATCCCTTTCAGTAACCACTTTTATGTTACCATGGATGTTATGTTTGTGGAGAATAGGATGTTTTTTCTTCTTATGTTAGACGTGCCCAGTCATGTTCTTCACGGGGAGAATACAGTAAAGGAGGCACATAACTGGTTTGAGATAGAAATACGGGGGAAAGAAGCACAAAATAGTGTGCTGGAGCTAGAGTCTCTCAGCTCAGTTGAGCTGAGCCAAGCAACTGCTGGAAGTAGGTTGCTGACTAGTCTAGCAGAGCCAAACATGATAGCAGTGATTCCGAATTGGATAGCAGCGACCCCTTATTTTGATCATACTTGCTCATGTTCTACTGAGCATCCCTGAGGTAAGTCCTTCGGATCCCAATGCTTCTCAAATATTGTTGAACTTGTGAAAAAATTATCTACATGAGCAAACAGGGGAATACCACTAAACATATTCTCACTAGAAGGCAAAGTGAAATATACCATTACTAATTATGTATGCACACATAGATTGTCTTCTCAAGCTAAAGAATTTCTCAGTTAGATGGAAGGAATTAAAATTCCTAATTGATTGGAAGAAGCTTTGCAAAACACAAAATTGGTGAAAGCAATGATTGTGGAGATGGAAGCTTTACAGAAGAATGGAACATGAGAGATAGTTTCGCAACCTAAAGGAAAGAAACCTGTTGGATGTCAATGGGTGTACACAGTTAAACACAAAGCTGACGGTACAATAGATAGATATAAAACAAGACCTATAGCCAAAAGGTATACGCACACATATGGAGTGGTTATCAGGATGTGTTTGCACCAGTGGCAAAAATGTATACGATGTGAGTATAATTTAGATTGGTCTCTCAAGAAATTTGATGTAAATAATGCCTTTCTGCATGAAGATCTAGAAGAAGAAGTGTACATGGACATGACACCTCGTTATGGTTGTCTAATAACAGTGGGAAGGTGTGTAGGCTTAGAAAGGCCCTTTATGGATTGAAGCAGTCTCCGCAAGCATGATTTGAGTGGTTCACTGAAGCAATGAAGAAGTATGGATATCATGAAGGTAACTCAGATCATACCTTATTTATCAAATGCAGGGATGGTAAGATTACTTTGCAGATAATCTATGTCGGTGATATGGTATTTACTGGTGATGATATTGTTGAAATGGGTAAATTACAAAAGTACTTAGCTTCAGAGTTTGAGACGAAGGACTTGGGGGCTTTGAAGTATTTTTTGGGAATTGAAGTAACTTGCTCTGCTACTAGTATTTATCTCTCTCAAAGTAAATATGTTCTGGAGCTGTTGATAGAAACTGGTATATTAGGGTGTGCACTAGCAAAAACCTTTATTGTGCACAATCATTACCTAGCAATCTATCCTGATCAAGTGCCAACCAACAAGGAGAGATATCATAGGTAAATGGGAAGACTAATTTATCTTTCACACACTAGATTAGTTATCGCATATGCAATTAGTGTTGTTAGCCAGTTCATGCTTTCTCCTAGTGAGGATCACTTAGCTGTAGTTATGAGGATTTTGAGTTATTTAAAGAAAGCTCTAGGCCGATGCTTGATATTTAGAAAACCAGGACATTTGGATACCAAGGGTTATAAAGATGCAGATTGGGCAGGAAATATAACAGATAGATGTTCTACATGAGGTTACTTTACTTTCATTGTGGGTAATTTGGTTACATGGCGAAGTAAGAAGTAGAATGTAATGGCTCGATCTTTCGCTGAGGAAGAATACAGGGGCATAGCACAAGGAGTTTGTGAGCTTCTTTGGCTAAGAATACACTTGTTTGAAATTGGGTTTCCACTAAAGAAAGTCATGGAGCTTTACTGTGACAACCAAGTTGCGAGAGAGATAGCAAATAATCCAATTCAACATGACAGAACTAAGCTTGTTGAAGTGGATATGCATTATATCAAGGAGAAGCTGGTAAATAAGCTAATCGATATACCATTTGTAAAATCAGAAAAACAGCTGGCTTAACGCATGCAGTGTTAGCAAAGGTTTTTCATGACTCACTTGACAAGTTGGGCATATAAGATATCTACACACCAACTTGAGGGGGAGTGTTGGCGTGAGCCATAATATAGGGATTTCGTGACCCCTGATTTCCTAGTATAATTCACGTTACATAATTAGAATAATTACCTAGCTAGAATTCCTTATAATTAGCTAATTATTTTTCCTTATAGGAAAAGTCAACTTATACTTGTATATATACCTTTCTTTTGGAGAAATATAATATCAATCACAATTATTCAAAGGTTTTTTAGGTTTTAGACATAAAAAAAATTTCACTTTTGGAAAAAGCCAAAGCTTTTTCAAAAAAGACAAAAAAACCACTCAACTTTCAAATCAAAGACATGCAAATCCTCTTTAATAGAGGTTGAGCCCACCAGTACAATGGAGCCCACCTTTATTAGAGATGCAGTACACAATGTGTTATAAAATGTAGTAAACATATCATTTTCCATTATTCAATCCTTCTGTGTTTAGTTTGAGTGATAGCTTTATGGCCGAATTATAAAAATAGTTGCTAAAATTCAGTTTTTCTTCTAGTTCATGTAGTTTTAAATTAAAACTTTTAATTTTATAAATTTTGCTCCTTTAATTGGAAAACAAAAGTTAATTAGAGAACGTGAACTTATTAACCTTAAGTTAAAAATAAAGGCAATTGCCGTAAACAATGGGAGCTTTTACAATGAGGAATTAGAGTTTATTTGGAGTTACAAACTTTTTGACTAGTCTAATTTAAATTTAGTTAACGTTAACGTCATTTCACGGAAAGGCTATAATGAGGACTTAAAGTGAGGAGGTTATTTGAGGAGGTCAAATCTCACCATCAACAAATGTAAAGAACTCATGTCACTTAAATATTTTAAATGTTTTGACGGTCGGATCGGTCTCCTCAAATAACCTCCTCACTTTAACTCCTCATTGTAGAAGCTCCCGTCATTTCAACCCAACATTGGGCTTAGGGTTGCAAATATGAATTTTGAGATAAATTTTGGGTTTGGGTTTCAATGTTATATCCAAACTGTCAATAATTAAGTGAGACAACCCAAAAAAAATCCAAAAACACATAATTTGTACCGCAACATGTTCTCTTTTCATCAATTTGATTAAGATAATTTAGGCCATATCCTTGTATTGCAATCTTTGGACAAACAAACTAAAGAGCTAAAAGGAAAATATTTGCCTCCTTCTACCGGAGGTAAGAACTAAATTTATGTGAATTATAATTTGACATGTGTACATTATATGTGTTTCGGATGAATTATATCTTTATATATGTGTCAAAATTAGAAACTTATCAAATTACAAAAATATCCATGTTACAAGGATTATTTTTGTAATTTCGCATAGCTTTCTTCCACGAAAACAGTCACGCCGCCATCACGACGAGGATTTCTGGCCCAGTTTCTTTATTGAGCTCCTTGATAAGAAAAATAGTTCTTTATTGTTTTTTTGTAACATTAAAAATAGTTCTTATTGCATTTACAGTTTCGAAGCATGATTTTCTCTTTTCCTTTTATTCTATTATTCCTTTTGTTCTTTCACAAGATAGCTAGTTTCATCAAGCATGCTCTGCTTTCGTCAATAACTTCATTGAAGCTAATGGCAAAGCTGATGCAATACCATTCCTTGTTGAGACCTTCTAAGATTTCAAAGCAAGTTACAAATTTTAAAGAGCTCAGAGAATTACGGAAACTAGCAACATCATGGAAAGGGCACCAGACGAGTTTGATGACATCTTTTCATTTTGGATGAGGAAATGGTGTTTGTATGCTGAAATGAGAAACAGTTCCATTGAAGCAGACTGAAAGATTTTGACTCGAGATTCTGAAATGACGAACATACAGAGGTGAAAAGTTTTGTTCACTCATAACTTCATCTTTTTCTCCATCTTGGGGAAAAGTTGCAAAAAATTAATGTAGCCATCATCAGCTTTCTCTGTTGTAACAATCAATCAACTAGTCCCAATTTAATAATTCAGTAGGAACACTGCATGCATTAAGAACTTCAAAAGAAAACTTAGTTTGCCAAAGATACATGACTCATTTTCGATGCAAATGGTTTTCTTTCTACATCGCAAGTGATCCTAGGATGACATTATCCTCATTAGTGATTGAGTTCCATGTCACTTCATGTTCTGAAAGTTATTGACTAAAAGAACTTTCATCAACAAAAATTCTTTAAACATAGATCAAGAAAGAGAGGAAGTCTTATATACACATGGATATGATATAAGTTATTCAGAGAAACCAAAACTACAAACATTATCAACAAGTATGCTACTTTATTGACCTAAATTCGTATCACCGTAAAGGATCTTAAATATGGACATCACAATGGCACTCATATATTTTAAATACTATATTAATCTATTACTCTTAAAATATGTTATAGCAATAGGTAGTAGTATAAAGATATTTGCTCTGGTATAGAAGAAACTTACATGCTATATTTACTCAGCTTCTGTTGCCAATGATACCAAGGTTTCTACTATGTGTAGAGTTTTGTACTGCACCAGCCATCTCATTTGTATTTGCTTGGCAATCAATTACTGCAGGCTGACAATTTCCTCCTAATGGCACCATTGCTTTCGTGCTTGTGCCGATACTAGCCTGCATTGATGACCCAACAGGTGAACAGAAGCATGGTAAATCTGTTTGACAACAAAGTCCAACTGCCCCAATAGTAAACTGCGGATTACAATCACCTTCCGTTAGAACAGAAGAAGTCTTACACTGATTTTGGAAGGGGAAAGCACCCAACTCATGATCAATCATTCCTCTAAGGTCCAGAAACAAGCTTCTCAGCCTTAAAAACTATGTTTCAAGAATTGCCTGCCCCTGTATTTTTCTAACAAGTTGCTGGTTCAACAGCCTCAATTTCTTTACTTCCTCTTCTAAGTAAGCTGTATGCGCCTTCTTTTTCTCCCTGTACTTTCGAACTGCTTCTCTATTTCTGGAAGGCCTTCTTCTTTGTGGTCTGGGAACGGAATGCTCTTTATTCTTAGCACCATCATCATCTTCCGACGGAAGAACTTGGGTATGGGTGTGGTAGCAAGTATGTGTATGTGCAGCATCAGGGCCAGGTGGGTTACAAGTGTGAGTTTGACTGCAAGTCCGGGTATTCTTCAGAAATTCATCAACAAATGTATCTACAGCATGGTCTGAAATCTCTACCACCCCATCATCCATGTTTTCTTTGATTACTTAAAATAAGAACTATGTGGAGCCAAAGAAAGTAAGAAAGAGCGTAGCTGTAAAATACCAAATTTCTGTTTATTGGTCAATTACCATAAAGCTACAAACTTTATGCAATTTGTAAGAACTTCATGCATAATCGAACCAAACCACACAATTCTTACTAAAAAATATATGAGGGCTTGACTACAATCAAATTAAATATAATTCAAGAACACATGCACAGCAGCACAGCACTCGGAACAAAATCTATGAATTACCCACACCACCATATGTTCTAATGAACCAAAATCTCTCTTAAAAGCGACTTATTTGAACCCATAAGCAGAAACAACCCTGACATGCACTCAGAAGTTGAGGGTTTAAACTGAAAGCAGGGTTTTTCAGCAATTCAAAAAAGAAATTAATAAAAAGATATTAGATCAATCACAGAGACAAAATTATGGTACAGATCAATACAACTAGTGAAGAGAATCCAGACATCAAGTATATGATGGAACAGAACACAAAAAAGCTGACTTTCGTGCAGAATATAAGAAAAGCAGGAATATGATTTTTATCAGATTGTGAGGCAGAAAATTCTGGCAATCTTTGTCGCAGCAAGTATGACGTAGTTACCTGATTTCTAGGGTAAGATTCTGCGACCACGATGGTTTCATCTATCTGCCAATTTTACCCCAATGAAGATGAAATAACAAATAAGCATCTCTGGAGTATTTTTTTTCATTTCTGTAGTCCTTTCGAGGATAATGTTGCCTTTTTATTTTAGAGTTATCTTTAGATTATAGACACTAGTTTGGCCGAACCAATTGTTTATACCCAATTTTGGTAAATGGGCCAAAAGTGGTCACACGGTTTAAAAGATATTTTGAAATAAAATCAGGCCCCTTAGCACTTGTGTATCTCAAATGAACCATTTTCTCACAGTTGGGCCTTTCTGAATAATAAAAAGGCCCAAGGTCAGGAAAGCCAAGCCTTTATCTCGCTACACGTCAAAGATGGATAGGCATACCCAAGTGGGAGGCCGAAGAAGGATGATCACATTTAATGACGACTTGATTCCTTACTCACCCAGCAAGAAATCGAGTTGTACTAGAGCCCCCAAAACCAAAAGATCGAAATTGCCAGCTAGGTTTTCAAAGTACAGAAAGTCCAATCAAGAAGACCCCACAAAGGGATCCGACGGTCCTTGCTAGAAGTCCTCCATCCTCCCTTCGATGAACTGGTGAAGATCAATGAGCTAGCAGCTGGCAGCTGACCTTGAACCCCAAACCAAAGGTCTTCTCCCAGTTTTTATCATTACAAGTTCCCCCTCCCTCCTCTATAAATAAGAAAGGTTTACATCAGAAAGAAGGGACTCTCTCTCCAAAAACCAGACAAAAAGTCTTCAAAAAAGTCTCTCAAGATAACAATCTGCCTACTTTGTCATTAAGATATCTAGTCGACGAATCCTGTGATTATCTCTTGTAGCTCTGCCATGACTATGGTATGATTTTCTTTTAATATGCATATCGTTTCAATTCATGTAATCTCTGGACTGGATCGAGAAATCTCCAGCCTTTTTATCTTTACTCCGTTGTTTGAATTTGAGAACAAGTTAATGAATTAACCAAAGAATTTCTTGTTGTTTAATTTGAAGTGTTAAGTAACATATAAACCGCATAAGATTCGGTAGTTAGGTTCTAATTAACTGTCCGACAAAACAAGCTTTGACTAATTTTAATACTTAAAATTGAATTCCCGCCACCCTACTCTTTGAAAAGCCAAAAAAAATGTTATTCGGGCCCAAAACGAAGTAGGGGCCCGAAAGACATAGTGAGGAAAAAAGACAAGGAACTGAGTTGGGCCCGAACATTGAGTCAGGCCCGAATTTATTATCAATCTGGTCAGAAAAAGAGAAAACTATTGAAATAGGTTAATGAAGCCCAGGCAGGGTCTTTACTAACCACGAACTTGGTCTTACTCTATTGCCTGTTCAGGTGCTGCTCATACTTGTCAGGGTGATGTTCACAAAGGAAAGAATATTGAAGTCCTCTTAACTGAGGCACATAAAAGAATCTATCCAGGCCAGTACCCCCCTGGAGCACAATGACTTGAGAAGCAGTCCAGACAAAAAGCGCAAACTCCGTAAACATCCATCATTCATTCACACTAGATCTATTGGGCTGATTGTATACCCAATAGTGGCACGCCTACGCAACGACAAGAAACCAGTATCAGAAGCTATTCAACGAGGCCTCAATTGGGCCCATTCGTTCTGGCAACTGATTCAACTTTCAATTTTGTTCGAAGATTGAAAAAGTCTTCTTCGCAGGCCAAGAGACACCACTCGACCGGGGCATTGGTGTTGATCCGTTAGCTTCACCTTCGTCCCTCAGAGTTGAACCGACCCTCGCAGTTGGTAAAAGGACAAAATGAGGAAAAAAGGACTAACACCAATGAATCAGGCTATTCGAATTATAATTGCCGGTTTAGTTTGGTTTTTGATCAATTAAAAAAAAAATTAATGGTTTAAACTAAATGGCTTTTTATCACAAAACGTCCCTAATTTTTGCTAAACTATCAAATTGCATCTTTAAAGTTTTTTTGTATCATGGTCCCTAACGTTAATATAAGTGCTCTTAAGTAGTCCATCTGTCAAAAAAACTGTTAAATCTAGAGATATAATCGTCAAATCAATCTAAAATTAAAAAATATATATATTATTTCCTTCCTCCTGTCTTTTTCTCTCTTTTTGTTTTTTTATCTCTCTTCTTCTTCTGTCTCCAATTCTTTTTCTTTTTCTTCCTCTACCCCGATTCTTCTTCCTCTTTTATATTTCTCTTTTTCTTCCTCTGTTTTTCTGTTTTTCTTCTTCTTCGTTCTCTCTTTCTTTTCTTCTTCTTATCAACACCTTCCTTTTGCTGAGACACTGGAATACTCTCTCTCTCTCTCTCTCTCTCTCTCTCTCTCTCTCTCTCTCTACTTCTACTTGAGCTGGTGGTGTGTGATAGTAGTTTGAAGCCTTCCACAGTTCCTTTTTTTTTCCTTAGCTTCTTCTTCTCAAGTTAATAGTTGGTGGGGGTGGTGTTGAGGAAGAGGGGGATTATAAGAGAAGGAAAAAAGAAACTAAGTGGTATTCTGGTTCTGAAGATAAGTTGTCACAAACTAAGGGATGGGTTTTGGTCAAGTGATGAGCTCAGGAGCTTGTGCGGAGGGCTTGTCTCAAATCTCAGAGATAAGGAATCTGGCAGAGAGAAAGAAGAAGAAGAAAAGAAAGAGAGAAAGAAGAAGAAGAAAAACAGAAAAACAGAGGAAGAAAAAGAGAAATATAAAAGAGGAAGAAGAATCGGCTAGAGGAAGAAAAAGAGAGAATTGGAGACAGCAGAAGAAGAGAGAGATAAAAAACAAAAAGAGAGAAAAAGACACGAGGAAGGAAATAATATATATATATTATATAATTTTGGATTGAGTTGACGATTATATTCTTGAATTTAACAATTTTTTTGACAGATGGACTATTTAAGAGCACCTATATTAACGTTAGAGATCATAAGTGATACAAAAAAACTTTAAGGATTCAATATGATAGTTTCGCAAACGCGAGGGATGTTTTGTGATAAAAAGCCAAATTGAATTAAATTGAATAGCTTGACTCGACTGTGATTTTTGGATTTTGCAAACCAATTCAAACAGAACGAGACTGTCCACTTGAATATTTATTTTATTTTACGTGTAATCTTCTCATTAGATAATAACTATATGAAAATATTGGATTTAAGGTTTGAAGTTATTGATATTTGAATTTGTAACTAAAGTAGTTATTGATGTCAAGTTTGATTTAATGTTGAATTTTAGGATAGTTTTATACACTAGAAAATGAAAACTATGTAGCAAGTTATGATTTTTTGTTGTTGTTGTAGTTGGACTAATAAAATTAAAGAAATGTAGAAGAAGAAAGGATTGGGTTTAGGACCAAACCAAACTAAATATAATCTTCCATAATTTGTTTGATTTGGTTTGGTTTCCTCATTAATTTTATCAAAATTGAACCAAACCAAAACCTTTCTATTGTAATTAATTTTGCCTCTATTTTTTTGGTAAAACCATTCCAATCAGGATTGTGCTTGCCCCTAATAGGCACCTCATCCTTTCCTTACTTGAGCTATTTGAAGGATCGTGTTTTCAATTTGAAGTACCATACTTGGTGTGTTCAAAATTAGTACTTGTAGTTTTGCAGTTAGATTGATTGTTAGAAAATCTGTTTCAGTCATGATGTGACACATATGGGATTCACATTGTTTTCTTAGGTGAAATAAATTATTAATAAAAATTAAAAATTGAATTAAAAAAGCAGAAGATTAAAAACTAAGGGGGGTGTATTCAATTAAGGTTTTAATAGATTGTAATTACAAGATTATAATGTAATGGATTTCAGCCGAATTTTTAATTACAAGATTTTAATAGATTGAAATTAAATGATTTTACTTATGATTTTAATAGATTGCAATTTTCACTTATAGGATTTTTTGTATTCTCCAAAATAAATTTGCCCAATGTAGATTGGATTCGGGTTAGCCACGTTCGCCTAAACCCATGACCACTCCCAGTTTTTGTCAAGACTTGGACCAAAAATTGTGGGGTAAAAAACACACTTTTTTTCAGCTGCTTGTGGCATAATCTCATATTTGGTTTGCTTGTAGTTTTTTGGGCAACTGATACTTTCGGACCTGTACTCCTCCTTTATACTTCACCTTCATTTTTTTTTTCTTCATATTTTTCCTTTTTCTCTATTCTTTTCTTTCCTTTTCCCTTCTCTTCTTTTTCCATCATTTGTGTTTTTTTCTTTCTTATTTGGCTTTGGTAAATTACTGACGTGCTTTTCAATGGAGGTAATGTGTTATGAATATAGTGGCTGATTCTTCTTTCAATATTGTCATCTCCGCTAACTCTCTGGCTCTCTCTCCTCCCTTGGCTTTCTTCTCCATCCATCAATTTCTCTATGGCCTCCTTCGCCCTTTCCTTTCTCACCACCACAATAATCTTCTCATCCTCTACCCACTTCACTTGAAATTCCACACCAACTCTCACTGCAATAACTTAGAATCTGTTCAATGAGTTTCTCATTCATAACTTGGAGGTCTGGGCAGCCAGATCCCCCACTTTGTTGGTCTTTGTCCTTCAAAACGATGACTCTCATGCCCCCCAAGGAGTTAAAGGTGATTTGACGTGCTTCCAGTCTGAACACATACGTTTATTTTTTATGCCTAGTCTGGTCATTTTTTCAGTTATCTGCTTTGGTATGTTGGTGGTTCTTTTTATTGGTTCTTACCAAGGGCAGTGCGTGGGTTATAAGAATCAGGCATGTAAGGGTGAGATTTGTTATGAGATTTGGTAGTTATATTACCCACTTAAAATCTCACACAATACACCACTTAATGAAATACTTTAAAATCGATCAGTTTTTGAATATCACAATACTTTTATTGACTACTTAAAAATCCTAATTGAATACCAACGTACTTTTATTGATTATTTGAAAATCCTAATTGAATACTACTAGACTTTTAAGCTTCAAAACAATCTATTAAAATCTTAATTGAATACACCCCCTAAAATGCAACAATTTTTAGAATTCTGCTCCGATTTTTCATATTTTAATGTGCTTAAATCTTGGGATTAAACTATTTTCATGTGTAACGTTTGCATTAAAAGTTCAGCAGATAATACAAAAATTTAAGGTCCATATTTGTTGGGTAACGTTTATGGCACTTTCATTTTC